CGATAACCGTGAGATATCGGAATTTTCATCACCAAGAAAAACCATTAAAAAACCAAAAACAGTTAATGATATAGATGAAGCTGCACAAGAATCAAATTTTATTTTTTTATTATTAGATAGCTATTTTTGTTTCTGAGTTGTGTTCATTTACAGGCTCAATTTTTTTCCGTTTCTCCTTTTTGATTTTATATGGGGTTTCAAGTTGTTTTTGACTTATTTCGACGTAAATCACAACAACACACTTTTTTAATAAAGCAAACAAGTGTTAAGAGGTATATGTACGTGTAAACTACAATTACAAAAAATTGATATGAAACCCATGAAACCACCAACAAAAATGTAAAGCTAGCTTCCGTACTAGAACATGGTGTCATTCGTCGAGATAATTTATCGTTTTGTTTAATAGATCAAGAAATGTAAATATTCCCCTGTTATTTTTTATAAAATTATAAGAGAAATAAATTTTTTTCTAAATAGTATAGTTTATTATTTTGTAGAAAAACAAAATTTCGAAAATTTTAGTAATGTTTCAGAAACGACCGTTATTAATAATAGGTACCATTTTCCTTAATAAGGTAGAAATAAAATATAAACTATTTCCACGATTTACAAAGGCCTACAAAAAAATTATAGGTATTTTCCGCTATCCTATAAAATTTATATTTTCTGATTCAATTTTAAAAGGTTGAAGGAATTCCAAAACGCCTTTTATGGCATAATAATTATTTTCAATTCTACATACTATCTTTAGCTGCTTTTAAAAACGTTCTAAGAAAGTCCAATCAGACCAATTTAATCCCTAAACTATTCCACACTTTTAAAATTTAATTACCTAAAAATATTAAAAACTATTTAAAATAACTTGTTTAACAGACTGTAGAATAGCTATCTTAGTCACACGTAGCGCGTTCTCTGTCTGGGCGTCGAACACCTTTAGAAATTTGATGAACTGTACTGACAATTTGATTTAATTTATACATTTTTTATCTTATCCAAAACACTTTTTGTAAACCTATCGAAATTTTAAAAAATTAAAAAGTTTCCCGACACACCTACACCATCAGATGTTAAAGGAAATTAATTATAGAAGTATTTTTTAAAATGTATGGAAATGTTATGTCAAAAATAAGGTAATTTTTTAATATTTATTTTTCATCGATTTTAATTCACTTGGCAACACCTCGCATATTTGAATTAGGCATTCCAACGACCTGTCAAACAATAGGTGCCAGTGGGAAATTCCTGTATATTTAAGGGGGTAGCGACATAGTCTTGCAACTTGGACGCTATTTTTATTCGAAGTAGTACTCGCCAAGCCTGCCAATTTATGAAGAAATGTATAGGTGGGTTTTTTAAATATTATTTTTATTGTGTTTGACATAAAATATTTAAATGTAATCCATTATTCATGATTTTACGTAAAGTAGATAGAATACACCATATGTCGCCACCCTTAGATATACCAAACCTGCCCACTGGTAATTCATTTGTTTGGAATGCCTAATTGACAGAGAGTGACAGATATGATATAATTTTAAAGAATAGGTTTACATAAATGATCACTTAATGATCCTCATAAACTTTTAATATGCAAATAAAAAAAAAAACGTTAATTTATGGGATTTCCGGTGGTATATTTGAAAAATACTCTCCTTCCTAAAGCCTAAAATGTAAATTTTGTAAAAAATTGTATTTGTAAGAAAAGGCCGTCTTCGCAATATTTACCGAAAATGTCGGCCCTTATTTTAAAAACAATTATACATACCTTTTTAATGTTTTAGTATTAGTCCTGTTTGGTTTTGTCCAATGCAGATATCACAATGTCGCCATTCACAAAATGTTCAAATATAACCGTAAAACAATGGAAAAAACATAATTTTCCCGTAGAAATTAATAAGCCGTAGTTTAAATAAAATAAATGAAAAATACAAAGAACCGAATTAAAATTAAACATCACTTGAAACTACGCACGATTCTACTAAAATTTGCCGACAAATGCATATTCGATAGACAAAAGCAGCGCATACTATTACCCTACCACAAAAACTGACAAAAAACTTGTCTAGCCTTACGCTTACCAAATACACAGAGGCGGTGTTAGCCCAATTAAAAATTTCAAGAGTAAAATCGTTAAATTTTTTTTTTTTTATTTAATTCCTATACATACAAGTCGGAAAATGCTTTGTTTCCGAGATACAGGGCGTTAAAATTTCTTATAAAAATTAGTTTTTTTTTTATTAATATCTAAAAAACGCTTTGAGCGAAGTCAATGACATTTTCATTACAATATAGATCCTGTAATTTCAGAGGCGCGCCCGTGGGGGGGTAATATAATTAGTTTTTGCACAAAAATAGTACTTAATAGATTTTTGATTTATATATTTCGGATGAAATAACTAAAAATAAAACATTTTCGGTTCTTGTATTAAAGATATGGGAATTAAAAAAAAAAAAAAAAAAAAAAAAAAAAAAAAAAAATAAGCTTTAAAATGTAATCATTCTAAAACAAAAATTTACCAAAAAACAATTATTTTATGAGAAAAATTGAATCGAATGCCACCAAAGTTGCAAGATTTTGATATTTATGACCTAAAATACAGTGTTGCCAACAGTTTCAGTTAGTAACAAGATAAAATAATTTAATATCATCAAATTTTACATAACCGTTAATAATTGTAGAATTATTAAAAAATAAAGTGCATGAAATATGTATAAATAAAATTAAAATCATTATAAAAAATTGACTAATTAAGTGATATTTTATTTAAAAAACAATGTACTCGTATATTTTTGCAACTTATGGGACTTATATTTAAGTTTGTTTGAAAACTTTGTAACCAATCTTCAAAAATACTTGTATATAAGAGATAATTGCTAACATTTTTACTATTTTTTATAAAAAAATGTATTTAAAGAAAAAGGAAAATTAATTAAGGCATAAATTTCTTATAAATCAATAAAATTTAAAATTATTATAAACTTACCCATAAATTATCTCGATGCGTTTTAAATATTCATAAAAGAGAGGTATTCTGACACTTAAATACCTCAGTAAATTACCAAAATTGCGACATTATTCGAAATAAATCGAGTGGTACATAAGCGTACCAAATGAAAGTTGGTGGTACAAATTGTACTATTTTTTCGAACTTTCTAACCTAATACAAATACGGTCTTGCTTTAGTTTTGTTTATTCGCAAGAAATCGAGCGGTAAGTATGCGTACCAGAAGAACTGTTGGTGGTACAAATATGTACCATCAATTATTTCGATCTTTTTACTTTCCTATCTGTATACAGATATAAGGAAAGTATAGGAATCATGATTTTTTTCGACCTCGAGTTTTCGACGGATTTTTACGTTTTGAGGTCCCCTGAATCCGTTTTGACTATTTTCGCGATGATGTCTGTGTGTGTGTGTGTCTGTATAACGCATAACTCATGAACCGATACACAGAAAAACACCAAATTTTAAACTTAAGCTTTGTTTCAGCGTCCAATGAGCTGATTAGATTTTGGGCAGAGTCGGAACATCTGGGGGGGTACTTTATAGGTGGTCATTTTTATATTTTATGGAATATATCTGTTATTATCGTTTGGAGAAGAAAATTCTTCAAATAAAAGTTACTTCTAATATAATTATCTATAATTTTTGTTTTATGCAAAATTTTCCTAAAATGGTCCGTATTCGAGAAATTTGACAAAATGTAAAAAAAATAATTTTTTATAAAAATTGTTCAAATAAAAGTTGTTTGTAATATAATTTTCTATAATTTTTGTCCTATACATAATTTCTCTAAAATGGACCGTATTCGAGATATTTGAGAAAATGTGTAAATTTCGAAATTTGAAGAAAACTCAAAAACGGATAAAGGAAAAAACATTAAATTTTAAACTTAAGGTTTATTTCGGCCTGACGTGAAATGATTAGATTTTGGACAAAGTCGGAACATCTGGGGGGGTACTTTATGGGAGGCCGTTTTTATATTTTATGGAATATATCTGTTATTTATGTTTGGAGAAGAAAATTGTTCAAATAAAAGTTACTTCTAATATTATTATCTATAATTTTTGTTCTATGTCAAAATTTCCTGAAATGGTCCGTATTCGAGAAATTTGACAAAATGTGCAAAATTCTGATTTTTATGAAAATTATTGAACTAAAAGTTGTTTGCGATATCGATTTCTATAATTTTTGTTTATATATGATTTTTCTAAAATGGACCGTAATGGAAAAGTGCTAAATTTAAATTTTTCTGTATTTTCGTTTTCAATGAATATCTATAGAAAAATGTTTCGAGGTAGATGTATGTGGAAAATGTATATATTTAGTTTATCCTCTAAACATTTATAGAGATGCTGCAATAGGTTGTACAAAATAACCGGAAAAAGCCTGTAATAACTAGATAGGAAAGTCATGTGTTGGACACATCAGATTTTTTGCAATATTCACCAAATAAGGACCTGTTTTCCTTTTGTTTATTCATAAAAAGTGGTACATATGCGTATCACGAAAAATCTTGGGAGGTAAATTTCGATTATACTGCATTATTTGAAATAAATAGAGTGGTACATATGTGTACCACAAAAACTGTTGGTGGTACATTATATGTACCATCGATTATTTCGATCTTTTTTTGCATGTTGACTTGTTCTTCTTTTGTTTATTTTTAAGAAATTGAGTGGTACATATGCATTACCACAAAAAATGTTGGGAGGTACAAATATGTTTACCATCATTTTTTTTTTTGATTTTGTACAAATTACATAAAACCTGTTATTGGTTATTCGAAAAAGTCGGGTGGTACATATGTGTACCAAGAGAAGTAAATCAATTATTCCGTTATTTTTATGCTATAAGTCAAATAAAAATTAAGATTGTTCTATACATTCTTCATCCCAGATAAATATAAAGATATATAGTAAACATACGTGTTTAAAATGAAATCATCAAATAATGGAATAGAAAATAAATTTTATTTACATCTAATTTGTACACACTTAGGCTAAAACACAATTTAAAAAAAATAATTTTACATCATTTCACCTTCTCCTATCTTTCGACCGATTTTCAGATTTATCGTCGTCTCTATGCTTAGATTTTTTGTATTTATCTCTATCGTCCCTAGATGAATATTTATCGTCCCTATCTTTATATTTATCATCCCTATCTTTGTATTTATCGTCTCTATCGTAACGATCTTTCCTATCCTTTTTATCGTCGTATTTGTCTTTTTCCGAATACCTGTCTCTGTCGTCGTCTCTGTTGTACCTGTCGTATTTGTCGTACCTTTCGATGTACCTATCGTTCTTGGAGTCCCTTTCGATGCTAGGCGAACGAGACGATCTCCGTTTATCCCTATAAATACAAATTATCACGGTAAACAAAAAAGGAATTTTATGAACATTCAAACCAAAAAAGAACAAAAAAAAATACAAAAAACAAAAAATAAAAGAAAACAAAAACCAAAATAAAAAGTAATAAACAAAAAAAATACAAGAAAATAATTATTATTCTGCATCGCCAATATTACGACTACGTTCCGCCGCTGGTGTCATTGAAGTTATAATTTCGTCTGATTTTATAAAATAAATTAAAAAAAAAAAAAAACAAAAAAAAAATATAAAAAAAATATAAAAAAGATAAATATAAAAACAAAAAAAATAAAAAAATATAAAAAACAAAAAATAAAAGAAAACAACACCAAAATAATAAAAAAATATTAAACAAAAAATACAAGAAAAATAATTATTCTCCTGCCTCGCCAATATTACGACTACGATCCGCCATTGGTGTCATTGAAGTTATAATTTCGTCTGATTTTATATATAAAAAAAAAGACCAAAATCAAAACAGAAAAAATAAAAAGAAACAAAAAAATAATTATTCTCCTGCCTCGTCAATATTACGACTACGATCCGCACTGATGTCATTGAAGTTATAATTTCGTCTGATTTTATAAAATAAATTAAAAAAAAAAAAAAAATATAAAAACAAAAAAAAAAATATAAAAAACAAAAAAAATATAAAAATATAAAAAACAAAAAATAAAAGAAAACACCAAAATAAAAAAAAAATATTAAACAAAAAATACAAGAAAAATAATTATTCTCCTGCCTCGCCAATATTACGACTACGATCCGCCACTGGTGTCATTGAAGTTATAATTTCGTCTGATTTTATAAAATAAATAAAAAAAAAAAAATATAAAAACAAAAAAAAATATAAAAAACAAAAAAAATATAAAAAACAAAAAATAAAAGAAAACACCAAAATAAAAAAAAAAATATTAAACAAAAAATACAAGAAAAATAATTATTCTCCTGCCTCGCCAATATTACGACTACGATCCGCCACTGGTGTCATTGAAGTTATAATTTCGTCTGATTTTATAAAATAAATAAAAAAAAAAATATAAAAACAAAAAAAAATATAAAAAACAAAAAAAATATAAAAATATAAAAAACAAAAAATAAAAGAAAACACCAAAATAAAAAAAAAATATTAAACAAAAAATACAAGAAAAATAATTATTCTCCTGCCTCGCCAATATTACGACTACGATCCGCCACTGGTGTCATTGAAGTTATAATTTCGTCTGATTAAAAAAAAAAATAATAAAAAACAAAAAACCAAAATCAAAACAGAAAAAATAAAAAGAAACAAAAAAATAATTATTCTCCTGCCTCGTCAATATTACGACTACGATCCGCCACTGGTGTCATTGAAGTTATAATTTCGTCTAATTTTATAAAATAAATATAAAAACAAAAAAAAATAAAAAATATAAAAAACAAAAAAAATATAAAAAAAATATTAAAAAAAAAATAATACAAGAAAAATAATTATTCTCCTGCCTCGCCAATATTACGACTACGATCCGCCACTGGTGTCATTGAAGTTATAATTTCGTCTGATTTTATAAAATAAATAAAAAAAACAAAAAAAAAAAATTATAAAAAACAAAAATAAAAAAATAACAAACAAAAAACCAAAATCAAAACAGAAAAAATAAAAAGAAACAAAAAAAAAATTATTCTCCTGCCTCGTCAATATTACGACTACGATCCGCCACTGATGTCATTGAAGTTATAATTTCGCCTGATTTTATAAAACAAATTAAAAAAAAAAAACAAATTAACTAATTTTTAAACTATCCGTCCCATATTTAGCGCATACACCATTCCCAGTCTTCTTATTTAACTCTAATAAAATTTCGGACTCACCTCTTTTTCGTTTTCGGCGGAGGCGTCGTACTTCTCGATCGCGAATAACTTTTCCTTTTGTGACCCTTCTTGTGATTCCTACTCGTCGATCTGCTTCTAGATCTGTGCTTCTTCGACGACCGTTTCCTGTGCTTATTGTCCGGCGAATGCGTAGCCGATCTCGACCGAGATCGCGAATGTTTGTCGTTCACCGATGGCACGATGTGGCTTCCGGATCGGCTAAAAAAAAACAACAAAATTAATAACGTTAATAACATTAATAACATTAATAACATTAACATTAATAACATTAACAACATTAATAAAATTAACAACATTAATAACCTTATCATTAATAACATTAACACTAATATCAATATTAAAATTAATAATATTAATAGCACTAATATCGTTATTAATAAAATTAATATTATTAACAACTTTAATAATTTTAATAACGTTGAAATTAATCTTATTGATAATATTAACATTAATAACGGAGGAAAATAAGTTCTCACAGAATTATTATTAAAATATTTCTGTGAGAACCTAAGGACCTAATTTTATTTATTTCCCATTATTCTATAATTTACACATGGGACTATTTTCAACTTTAAATATTAATAATATCATTAATATTAATAACATTATTAACAATAATAATTTTAATAACGTTATTAATAAAATTAATATTAATAATATTAATATGAAATTAAACAGGATATGAAAGAGGAAAAATTTCATACTATAAAAAACAAGTCATTGAAAAAAATCCGAAATAAAGAGGGATCAAAATTCAAATTTGTCTGCTTAACGTAAGATGTTTTTCAAGAAAAAAAAAAAAAAAAAAAAAAAAAAAAATTAATATCACATTATTAATAATTAATAATATTAACACGTTGATGTGACAGAGCCAGTGATTTAAATTTAACGTCTATTAATAATGTAATATTAATTAGAGAAAAAGTTAGAAGAGGTAGGTAAGTAAAATATGGCGATTTCGACTAATTTTCGCGGTTTTTTGTTTATTCAGACGAATTTCGAAAATGTACCTATTTCAGCTGTTTTTTCAACTTCTTCGTTTCTTATGGTAGGAATTTTTTTCTTTCACGTCCTGTATAATTTGATATTAATGTTATAAATAACATTATTAATAAATTAATGTTATGTTATTAATGATATTAATGTTACAAACTATTAATAAATTAATATTATTACTAATATCGGTTATGTATTGACACCACATGTATAAAATTAATAAAAAATGAATACCTAATGAATCCGCCCCAAGCATTGTGGGCTCCAGTTATCTTATCCTGGTTCGGACTACTGCTAGAATTATTTGGAGTGTTGTTGCCCGATCCCCTTGCTTTCACTCTGGCTGCTTTGTACTTTTCGCACAACTCTTCCACTTTTTGTTCCAACATTTCTATATTTGGCTGCAAAAATAAATAAATAGATTACGTACGTCGAGATTTTGCCACCACTTCCCAATTAAAAAAAAAAAGATTTAGAATGATTAATTACCTTAGGTCTAGCGTACAATTTTAATATCCTAACACTAATATCACGAATGTCACCCTCTGTCGCTCCGAAAATCGAAAACCACGACGGATTCTTGGGCAAAGGCAATTTCAATTTCCTCGCCGTCAGGTATATACACGCGCAAGCAACCGTTTCCGGTTGGTAACGTACAAACACGTCAGTCCTCAACGAATCGTTCATGTAGTTCCAAGAGTATTGCATCAACTTCTGATGGTTATGGTATCCGAGAACTTGGAGGTACATCACGATGATCTGAAAATGAACATTTACGTTTTTATCCATGACTATTACATAAAATCGAAGTTTGCATTGGTCGTGTACAAATCTAGGTCTAAATAACCACAGGTGTTCATAAAATATGACACCCATTTTTTTGTCATTCCCCAAAGCATTACGTTGAATTCACCTAATGTCTCCATTCTAAGAAATTAAATCATACTTCAAATTTTCCATCTCGCTGTGCTCATAAGAATGTTTAAAGTCAAAAAGAGAAAGAAATTAACGCCCGTATACACCGTACACGTTTAATCAAGATTAAGGATTTAATCGCGTTTAGTACCATAGCAAAAAAGGTACTAAATTATGCAAAATAAAAAATATGTCATTAAGCAAACAGGATAAATAAAAAAACTTAATATAGCAATACATTTTCTGAAATATGACAATAAAATTGTAAAATAAAAATGTAAATACAAGTGAATAAAATCTGTTAAGAACAAATGCCTACAATGTCACTTATTTGAATCCAAAGTTACAAGACTTCAAAGATCGATACCTTGGAAGAAAACTGGCGCAACTCAAAATTTTTTGATTGTGTACTTTTTTGCACACATACAAAGCAAAACTAATAAATTTTTATGAGTGTCCTAAAGAGATAATGGCAGTTTTGTTAGTATTGAAATCTGACAACTTTTTTAGAGACAAAACTTACATAATATGTAGATTAATATTTGATCAAAAATGTCACATTTTGAAAAGTACAATTTAGATTATTAGAGTAATACTATCGCATTTAGGGTTACACCAGTTTTCTCTAAACGCATTTCTATTACTATATATCTTATTATTTTTAGATGTGTCAATTTTGTGTGAAAAATATTTTTGTATAATAGTTTAAATGTTTTTACTTAAGTCGTTATTTTCCATTTTATTGATATTTTTTTCTACTTATATTTAGACTTGTGTAGCTACTGACCAAAATAATTTAATATACAAGATTTGTTTTTAGGTCTTTCTAAATTCATGAATTTGAATCAATCTCGCACTGATCCTTCTTAGGGGAAAAGGAAATATTAAACTCTTGGTTAAAAATGATTTTATCAATTTGTACTATTTGTTTGTCTTCATTTGGCATAAAACTTAAAATGTATATTTTTTTTCGACAACAGTGCCTCAAGTCTAAGCCTGTAAGGGTTAGTTGTATATTTATAAAAGAAATAACATGTGCTAGTTACAAGTTTTCTCTAAAGAAGGTGAGTCAACACATTTCTATATTATAAATATTTTTTGTTTTTAGATGTGTCAGTTTTGTTTGAAAAATATTTTTGTATATTAGCCATTTAGATGTTTTGACTTAAGTCTAGGCCTGTAAGGGTTGTAAAAAATAACATGTGGTAGTTACACGAGCTTTCTCTAAAAACAAAGTGAGTAAACACATTTCTAGATTATAAGTATTCGTTATTAGATGTGTCAGTTTTGTTTGGAAAATATTTTTGTGTAATAGTTATTAAGATGTTTTGATTTAGTAGTTATTTTCCATAATTAGTGATAAATATTTTTATTTATTTATATTATATTTAGACTTGCGCCGCTATTGACCAAAATAATTTAATATAGCTATTATTTTTCTTTTAGTTATAACACTACAAGATTTTATTATTCAGATTGTTCTAAATTCATGAAAAAATTCTACATTACCTTATGCGGATGCTTGATATGAACACAAAAACCCAATTCCTTCAGTACTCTTCTTTCAGCCTTGATGACTAGATTTTTGAGATGGATGTAGTTGGGGTCTAATATTACCGGTTGAATGGTTCTGCGCAAAAAAACAAAAAAACTCGTTTGATACTAAATTACATGGCGACAACATTCTTTTTTTTTATTTCCATTAATTGAACTCGAAAGCTGTTATTCACAAATACAAATTTTGAACATTATTTTAGCATGTTGTAACCACTGTATTTATAAAAAAAACATTCAACATTTTTTGGATTATAAACCTATGTTTACAATGTAAATAAAATTCTAACATTTGTTTGTAAAAGCGATTTCATTTTAAAGATCCTAAAATTGCTTTAAATTAGTTACAAAGCTTGTGAAAAGTTTACAATTTACAATTAATTCCTAATATTAATAATTTTTGAACAATTTGGAATCATAAATGGACTTTTTAGGCGACCTATCTAGCCATTTAACAACAATTTACTGCCAAGTTATAATAATACTTTTCCTATTATTTTCCCCTTACGAGTCAATCCCTGAAGATCTATGAAATTTATATGTAACCTAGATGTAAATATATGTAACTATTTCAATAAATATAAGTATCATATATGTAAATATACGCAACATATATGTAAATATACGAAACATGTAAATATACGCAACATTATGTAAATAAAGTCTTCAACACTACCCATATGCCACATGTTCTGATAAAACAAGAAAATTGATGAAAATATCCATTTTTAGTGACTTTTATGACAATTTAAGTACCAGTTCTGTCAAATAACTCAGTAAAATTGTTTTAGAATTACTACTGATGACATCAAGTTAGTCACGTGAGATACGGGTATTGATGGTTCTGGTATGGAATTTTTAACACGGAAAGGTATAATAGGAACATGCACATACAAGGAAGAGATCGTTTTCATGCATGAATCTGTTTCTGATGTAAGTAGTGGGGCCAGCAGAAATCGAAGTCGTATCGATGCTTCTTGTTGTTATGCGCATGTTCCTATTAAACTTTATTCAAGATTGTAATGTATGCTTTCTGTTTTTAAAATTCCGTACTTGTACATGTAAATATACGTAACATATACATAAATGTACGCAACATATACGTAAAATATGTAATAAGGTTTTTTAAACGATATTTGATTAATTAATTAATCAAAACTGAATCTCCAGCTGGAAAATTGATCGTTGGCAAACATTTGTTTATGTGGAAGCGATTATGTTGTTTAAGCACATGCAAACAGTGATTACAATTAGTGATAAAGTATCTATATGGGAAAACGAAAGAAAATTTAATAAATATTTTAGTAGATGCACAATCAGTTTGGAGACAAAAGAATTTGTTTTTGTAGTGACTGCAATTACGTAATATATACAGATCCATCCACTTTACAGCCCCGATTTAGTAACCTGTAATTTATTTTTGTTCTGAGAAAAAGTAATAGCCAGAAAAATGTAGAAACGTATTATTTTCGGAGATTTTTGTTTTCTAGTTAGATGGATTACATAAAAATTCCACTTAGTACTCCAATTGGATCAAAATTATATTTTGTACAAAACATTATTAATATAACAGAAATATAATATTTTTCTACGCCCATCAACACTGTAAACGACTAATAACTGAACTGTCTACACGATTTTATTAGAAATAATAAATATATACAGTGCGCCGCAAAAAATTTGCAACATGAAAGAAAATTGTACCATATACGAGGGAAGTATAAAAATACGATTTGATTGTAGTGTAAAATAGTTATTTTAAAAAATAGAGAAAAATGTTACATAAAAAATTTGTCTAGAATAAATATTTATTAGCCAACTAGATAAAATGAATTATTTTTTAAATTTGTATCAACTTTTTTTCTTTTAGTAAATTTAAAAAATTCAAGTCTTGTTTTTTTTTGTGTACTTTTTGCGACACACTGTATATATTTTTATTTATTTTACGCAAATATTTAAAGTTTATTAACAGATTTTTTCTGTTGATCGGACGTACCTGTCAAATTTTACATATTTAAAAAAAATACAATAAGTTATTTGACAAGATATATTTTAGACGTTTTTGCAACCGGTTGTAAACATTTACTCTGGGCGTAGAAAAAGTATAGTATCTAACTGGAGTCATATAATTACGCACGTAATTTGACTTATAATATAATTATGTCTTACTCACGCTACGTAATGAACTAAAAAAACTTTTAAGCTAGTACAGATATAACTTAAAACAAAAAATATTACGTCAAACAAATATAAGTTACATTTAACATATTTAGATGTAAGGGTTTCAAGTTTATTTGCCGACTGTGCGTCTTTTTCTATTAAGCGTGAAAAGCGAGACATTAATTAGGATATCTGTCAGTTTTGACAGATGACGCAACTTATTATTGATAAGGTAGGTTGATTTTAGAACACTTGTATTGAGACATTCAAAAAAAGTTCTAGTAATTCTTTTTAAATCAATTTGCATATTATTTAAAATACATAATTGACCAAAAAGTGACGTTAAAGTAATTTTACTAATCTGTGGATTTGTAACCTTCGAAACGGGCTAGCATGTGTCACTTACCAGCAAATGTCATTTACTATAATATGCTTCGTGTTTCTTTCCCTGATTTTTCCGGAATCATGCCTTAAGTAGCTTTTTCTGCAGCTACATTCATTCAAGTTAACTGTGTGTATATACAATTTTATTAATAAAAGTATAATTCAATATGTAACTAGCAAATTCAACCAACTTGTTATATTGCCTAGCAACGGTCTCGCAGGTAGTTTGTTATTTTTTTTATAAAATTATTAATTAATGATAGAAATTAATACCAATATCATTGGAAACATATATAATAGATTGTGAGTAAAATCGTATAAATACCTCGAGGGAACTCATTCTAGCCTAACGTCTGTAGGTTACTTCGGTTTTTCTTACCTCGCTAATCTACCATACGCTCGGCTGTAATAGAATACTTCCCTGCTCGGTATGTAATTTACTATTTTTAACGCTAGCTCCAATATTTTCGAATCGATAATACTTTTTCTTCTTTATAATTCCGTCATATTAATATGATCGTAGAAAAAATAGATCATGCAACTTTTGTAAAAAATGTCTTCACATTTGTTGCATAAATAACAATTTTCTAGAGATTTTATCTGATTTTAATAGTTAAATTATTTAAAACTAATAAGAGCGGATAGAAAATTTAAATTATTTATAATAAATACTTAAAATAGTATAGATATTCATCTTTTTTATGAAAAATGTATTTATTTCGTATAAATGAAAATTAAGTTTTGCCGAATATTAATTGATCAATTTTTGCGCTACATCTTGAGATACAATGTTTCCTGAAGAAGCCTCTGAGGCACCTACCTTTACTTCAACTTTTCAGTTTAGAGGAATTATCCATATAATCACCATCTGAATTGTCTAAACATCCTAAAAATCCACCCTGTATAAAAAATAACGATCCACTTTTGCCACTTTCATTTACATTTGATATTGTTGTACAAGATCTCTAAAAATCTATTATGGTTAAATAGCGAAAATTGTAAAATCGTCAGAATTTAAGATTTAAAAACGTTATTATTACGGAATATAAATTTTTAAAATTTCACATTTATCTCTCTTAATAATATTTGAAAGCAAACAATCTATTATAATTCTATGTACAATTACTTACGGACCACCCTGTATATGTCAAATTAATTCACTAACTCAACAACACGAATTTAAAACCTTAAATAATTATTGTGCGTTATTAATGTGTGTCAAAGTTGAAATAAGAGTTCAGAAATTCGGTTCTTATACAGGATATCACATTAGTGCGCAATAAATAAATTGCACCCCCAATAAGGATAAGTTATATACCAATTGAAAGATATTTTTAAGGAGAACATTTCTCTTCATTACGACTTTATCTCAATTGTCCATTCCGAGTTATATCATCCTAAATGTGACTAATTGCACGATAGACCAGTGCTTACATTCTGTGATTGTAGTGCTTATTACAGGCAAATAATAGTAATATAAAAACAATTATGGTATCCAGGTATATCATATGATGCTGTCGAGGATTTTATCCGCCACGTGTATACCTTACCAAAGGGCCTCTACGTGTTGGTTACACGGCCCTACGTATGCTTTCCAAAGAACCGGGTCCAATGGTTCGAGACCAAGGTAATGGACAAACATAACACAATCATAAATAATATTGCTCCATTTACATTATAACGAATATAATGCCATTTGTAACACATACAGGGTGTGGCTTCCTATGCACGTCGGTCCAGACTATAACATGATTTTTTATAATTAATATAATTAAAAAATATTTTTGAATTTACAGTGCTTCAAAAAATTTCTATTTAAAAATTAGAAAAATCCCAACTTTGCGTTTTAACACACCCTATATACAACATAGCAAATGAATGAAATCTATTAAAATTGTTTGACGATGTGAAAACAATCAAATATGTATAACTACCTACAGGGTGTTTTTCTGTAAAAAAGTACAGGTTTCGTTCGTTCACCCTATATATTTAAGAATATTTTTTAAATAGGGTCATACAAGTTTTTTTAAACATTTCTTAATATTTCCAATAATGAAACAACTATCAATCAATTACGCACTGATGGGACACCCTGTTATTGGCTAATATGTTCGTATAGTTGGATAGAGATAAGGAAATTTATGCTAAAAATATATATAGGGTGGCTCACGCTCAACGGGACGGAGCTTTATGGGAAAACGACCAAAGATATAAAAAATTCGTTTGGGAGGAATACGTAGATTACAGACGGCTACAATTTAAAATTTGTTAGATGTATACAGGATGTCCCACATAAGAGAAAATATACAAAGTTATATTATTTTTAATGGAACACCCTGTTTTTTATTTTAGAATTAAAAACTACATCAAAAATAATGTCAGTTAACTAAAGGTTCCCTATTACTATTATTATTAGTTTTCGATTTATTTGAATTTTTAAGGAAAAAAAGTCTCCCAGAAATTAATTGTTTACTCTTGTTTGAATAATTTTTAATGAATTAATTTTTTTTTTCTTATGTAGGACATCCTGTA